CCATCTCAAAATGAGTGAAATGAACAAATTAGGGAGAAGGGTGATGAATAATGGGAGGTGTGGAGCTGGTTTTGACCATTCCTGGGCACACGATAGTCAACTGTTTGGATCAGTGAGCTGAATCAGAATTGCAGTCCTTCATTCTTAGAATCATAGAATCATAGAATGTTTAGGGTTGGAAGGGACCACTAGTGGTCATCTAGTCCAACCCCCCTGCAGTGAGCAGGGACACTGCTAACTAGATCAGATTGCTCAGAGCCCCATCCAACCTGGCCTTGAATGTTTCCAGGGATGGGGCCTCCACTACCTCTCTGGGCAACCTGTTCCAGTGTTTTACCACTCTCATTGTCTCAGACAGGGAGAGCGACTTAGCAACTACATTTGCCAGCTACATGCCAACTACATCTATTATATTATGGCTGGAGTAATTTTAAGTATTTTCATCTTTTCTCATCTTTAATGTGTGTTCCTAGGAAAATCACAGCACAGTTCATAAGAGGGAGGCAGGTGGTTTCCATCTGAGGTCTCTGTGGCCTTGAGAAGTCTACAGAACTACACTACATGTTACTTCAATTTAAACATTTCATCCCTGACATATGCTGGTATTAGCAGCAAGAAATGTTGAAGTTTTGATAGTCTGAAAACCTTGGGAACCCCTGTGCCATGAATTTCAGGGGAGTTTAGCCTGCTGTCTATTCCATTGGCCATCCAGCAGACCCAGGAAACATTTTACATAGAAACTTGAAAGTGCATCTGCAACAATGACTATGTCAGAAAGGGGCGAAATCAGCGATTCAACAGTCTCTGAATACCTTTTAGTGTCTTTTAAATCATACTGAAAGCCAGAGCGTCACAATCTCCTCCTCATTTCAGTTATGCCTGTCCCTTATCTCAGTTGCTGTAGTTTTATTTGATCAAGCCCTCAGGAACGAGTTGTGTGTATTAAAAATCCAAGCCTTCCTCTCATTTATTTGAATCGGTTTTGTTTACTCGATGCTAATACTTCAGGGCATTAGTATGCTACATGTAGGAAGTCACCATTTATGGACCTAGCTTATAAATAACTAGTTGCAAGGTCTTAATTCCCTGAAGTCAGATCTCGGCAGCACCCGTCAGTTGGCTCCACCTTTGCTCTACAATTTTAGATTTCATGTCTCCCCAAACAATTTTGAGGGAATTTTCATTCCTGATAGTGTCTCTCCTCAGGCCATCTTTATTTTTCCCATTAGAATTGTATCTGCAGCAGCAGCACTAAATGGACCGAATCAAAACATGAGGGGAGATGTAGAGCGGGGCTTCCATCTCTCTGGCTACACGGCCCTAAGGACCTGGGACTCATGCAACAGGGAGAGGAGCAGGGGCCAGGGGCTGATGGAGAGGCTGAGAGGAGCCTCTTGTTTCAGAAACGAAGTGATGGTTTGTGTCTGCGCCATCTCTCAGAACGCCTGCAGAATGCTGGCATTGGAAGATAATGAGCCCTATTATTATGGGATCTCAAATTACAAATTTTCCAGTGATCGATTTTTATTGCTGGCTTAAAATTAAAAGCCTTTTCATACAGGATATGCATGGGACCCATGTCTGGGTCATGTCAAGGACAAGGATGGTTTTGTGGCCTTAAAGTGAAGCATCACAACAGTGACTTGCTAAGAAGACAAGTGAGATGATGAGTGAATCCCATTTTAAAAAAAAAAAAAAAAAAAAAAAAAAAAAAGCCCTTAGAGCAACAGCAGGATCAAGTATCAGCAGTAAATTTGGCTGCGCTACCGAAAATGTGATCTGGGCTACCGCAAAAAGTTTTGACATACTGGAATGAGAAAAAAAACACCAATGGTAACGGCTTCTCAAGAATCCCATTGTTCCTTTACAGTACACTGTAAAAATTCCAGTGGGTGACTTCAGTGTGAATATGCCCAGACCACTCCATTTCCACTGAAAGGGAAAATGAACAAAACTAGCACTTGGAATACTTACAAATTTTGGGAAACTCCCAACATACATGACCTGAGACAGGCAGCTGGAATTACATCTTTGTGCTGGCATTTTAATATAGGGGACCAGACCTGTAAGCATCCTCCTAGCCTCTCTTGCTCTTACTGGGTCAGAGATGGCCACCAGCAGCGTGCCCCAGGCCCGCCTCACCCTCCCTGCCGCCAGCACTGGCGCCTGGGTCTGCCGAGCTTCCCCGGGGGCTCCCAGCTCCTGCTGTGATGGCCGGGTCCCTCCGTAGCCT